GAACAGGGGGGTGAAGCAGCCCCATCCTCACCTCTGGCTCCGCCCCCTCCATATCCTTGTCCCCGCCCCCAAAGGGGCAGAGCCTGGCCAGGAGCCCCACACAGGCCTGGCGTCGCTCCCGTGGATCCCAGCAGCCAAAAGCCTATTGGAGGAGAAAGGTGAGGAGGGTGGAGCTTGGGGAGGGGCCTCTGAGGGGGCGGGGTCTGCATTAAGGGGCCCAATGCCCTCCCTCCCCAGGACGGGCACTAGGACCAAGCAGAGGACTGGAGAAGCAACTTTAATATGGGGCGGGGCTTCCTGAAAAGAGGCGTGGCCTACCTAAAACACCCAACTTGTCTTAAAGCAGCAATACCATCTTAAAAGGGCAATGTGCTTTGAAGTGGGCCCACCCCTTGTCCCAGCCAATAGGGAGCCTGCATTGCAAAGGTAGGTGGAGCTTTGTGGGGGTGTGGCTTGCCCTGAGGGGTGTGGCCTGCCCGAGGGGGCGGGGCTGGTCCACCCTCAATAGGGACCCCACTGGCATCCAACAGGGACCCTTTGTGGGGCTTAGGGTAGGGCTAAGAGGAAAGAGGTGTGGCCTAAGGGGGAGGCGCTTATTTAAAGGCACCAGGCACCCTCCCAGGTTCTCTGTGCAGATCATCACCAAGAAGGGCAAGGCCCTTCCCCAAGGGCGGGGCTTAGGAGAAAAGGGGGTGGAGACTAGCATTGAGGGGGCATGGCCTACCTGGAAGAGGCAGCGCAGCGCCTCCTGCTGGAGGCTGGGGTGTCGGCAGCAGGCACCCAGCAGGGCCGTGAGCACCCCGGGGTGGCCGCAGGCCAAGGGCTCAGCCAGGGCAGGGCCCAGCTCCGACAGCACCTCCCCAACCTGGGGGGTGGAGCCAGCATCAGCCCTGCCTCCTCTGTGCCCACAAGCCCCGCCCACCCTGTTGGTCCCTGCCACCCAGCTGCAAGGTCCTGCCCCCACCCACAAGCCCCACCTTCCCCAGGCCCTTCTGCAGAAGCCCTGCCCTCAAGCACCCCACCCAATCGGCTCTTCCCTGTGAGCCCCATCCCCCCCTTCAGGCCCACCCAATAGACTGCAGCTCTGTGCCATAAGCCCCGCCCCCAAGGAACACTGCCCAATAGCCCCACCCACAAATACATCCCTCCCTATTAAGCTCTGCCACAAGCCTCCCACCCAATAAGCTCCATCTTCACCCACAGGCCCCACCCCTTTAAGCCCCCCCCCATCCATCCTCTCTTCCCCAGCTCCGCCCCTCCTGGGCCCCCTCCCCCCACCCTTCCCCACCCCACTGCCTTAAGCCCCGCCTCCCGCCTACCACATCAGCAGGGGCGTGGTCCAGCAGGCGCTGCAGCCCATGATTGGCCACCCGGTGGGCAGCCACGCCCCGGAGGTGGCCCTTCAGCTGCTGATGGAAGAGCTCCCGCAGGCACTGGGGCCCCACCACCGCCATGGCGGCCTCCAGCAGCCGACTGCGCTCAGGGTCCTGCAACCCCCACACCAGGGTGCTGGGGACGACCAATCAGAAAAGGGCAGCCGGGACCCACACCCAATCAAGAGCCAGGCCCAGGTCCCGTGCCCCCTTCCCCCCACCGAAGCAACAGGAAGCACCCCTGGGTCAGCCTGGCCAATCAGTGGCCAGCATTGGTAGAGCACTGACCAATGAGGAAGGGTCTGGTGGCTGGCTGGCCAATTAGCAATAGGGGTTGGGGACCCCTGGCCAATCAGGAGCAAGCCTCAAGAAGCCGCTAGCAAATGGGGGGGAGCCTGGGGGTTGGCTAGCCAACCAGCAGCTGACTTTAAAAACAGGCACCAATAGAAAACAGGCCAAAACTCCCCCCACCAATCATGAAACAATGCCCAAGACCCCCCAGCCAATAGGGAAACAGCCCCAGCAAACCCCCAATCCATGGAAAGCAGCCTCAGGATCAACTAGCCAATCAGGAAAGGGACCTTCAAATCACCAGCCAATCAAGAAATGGCACTAGAGAACACTAGCCAATAGGGAGGAAAGCGATGACCATTAAGCCAATCAGCAAAGGGCACCTGTGAACCCCCAGCCAATCAGATATCCGCCCCAAATGCCTCTCAGCCAATGGAGGAGCACCCTCAGAGCCAGCCGGCCAATCAGAACACCCCCCCCACACACACACCTCACAGGGCCCAACAGGAACTCACCTCTCAGTAGGGGTGGGGATGGGCGGGGCCAGCTGGCCAATGAGTGCATCGCAGAGGCGGGAGCAGGCAGGCGATTGGCTGTGGTGCAGCACCTCCAGTGCCACCTGCAGGCAGAGGCTGGCGCTGGCTGGGGACAACAGGGCTGGGGGGACAGGGGGGCAATTAGAGGGGGCAGGAGGACAATTGCAGGGGGCAGATAAGGGACATCTCCCCGCCCTGCCCCAGGGGCAGTTGTGGGGTATTTGGCTCCCCACCGGGCACTTACAGGCCAGATGCTCCTCAAAGACCTCTGCTAATTGCCCCAGGAGGAGTGGGAAGGAGGGGGGAAGCTCCGCCCCCTCTGCCACTGCCTCTGCCGCCTTGACTGTCAGCTCCACCCCCTTGGCCTTTAGCTGCGCCCCTCCAGGGGGCAGCTGCGGGACTCCTGGGGGTAACAAGCCAGAGATGAAGGGGGAGGGCAGGGGGAAACCCACACCC